GCAAGTTATATATATATATATATACTTTAAATTTTTATTAAATGTAGTAAATATTAGTCTCATTTTAAATATATCGTTGATATTTTTTGAATAATATTAATTTATATAAATTAAATTTATATATTAAAAATTCTATCTATTTTACAGCATTATGCATCACGTGTTAGATGGTTACTACAACCGAACATTCCTTGTATGTGTTATATGTGTTATTATATTATGGTGTTAAATTTTATTTTTTCCTCGGAAAGGAAGAAACAATGCAGTGGTGGGGTGCTCAATGGTTGTGCCTAGATCAGTTGAATGTCTATCAATGTGGGATTGTTGCTGTGCATAATGCGCAACAACTGTTATGCATATTATTGGACCCATTTTAGGGGCTAATTCGATAATCTAAACTATTTACATTTTAGAAGGTATCGAGTAGAATATATTGTAAAAAATCACGTCAATCGGATATCGTTATCTCTTTCATCAAAGCATATTTGCATTGAGTTTTATATTTCAAATTACATTTATCTTTTTTTTTTAAAAAAAAAATACGAATGTAATTCGATAAAAAGCCCAACGATATCCGATTGACTTGATTTTTTATAGGTATATTTTACTTAATACCTTTAAAATATGAACGGTTCAGATTATCAAATTAAGTCCTGAAATGGGCCTAATAAGGTGCATAACCAAACTCAATGTGCCTATTGCATTAGTGGGCTGGCAACTGCTTCAAGAAATCTGAAAGAATCTGGAATGTCATACCTTTAGTTATCCTTTGGTCCATTCTGAAACACATGAATGAATGCTTGTTTAATGGTATTCAATCAAAGATGGAGGAATTGCAGGAATCAATCATCCTTAAATTAGCTATTTGGCCAAAAGCTTCATCCAAGGATCTACGCTACTCTATCAATGATTTTTTGTTCAATATTCTACAGATTAGAAGTTGTATGGGAGGAAGGGTGTGAGTTGTGTGTATGATCTTGGGTTGTTTACCCATAATCATTACACTCTTCTCTCACAAAAAAAGTCAAAAAAGTTAAAAAGTCAAAAAGCCCTTTCCAAACCAAGCTTTTTAGTCCAGGCTAAAATAGCCAAAAAAGTTAAAAAGCCAAAAAGTCAACCCACTTCCCAAACGGAGGCTTAAATACTAAAAAAGTCAAATAACCTCAATAATATCCTAAACTAATGATTTATATTAAATAAAAATAAAATAAAATAAAACAAGGCAGTTGGCAGTGGGCAGCCTAATGGGGCTATCACAGTGACAGTGTAGGCACAGCTTACCACTGTCACATTGGCAAGCTGTCCCATTGTTGATAAATGACAATTTTGCCCCTTTAGACCAAATTTGAAAAAAGTGAGGTTGGGGACAAAATTGTCATTTCAGCCTTAAACATCATTTTAAATATATTTTTCAATACAACAACTCAAATAAAAATCTATCATATCTTTCCAAATATAAAAACTAAAATAGCCTACTAAAAATAGTCAAAAAGCCAAAAATCCTAAAAATAGCCACTTCCCCAAACACCTACTACTAAAAAAAGTACTTTTTGCGACCGCTACAAGCCGTCGCAAATAATAGAAATATAGTTGCAAAAGATCTTTTGCGATGCGATGACAAATGAGGGTTGCAAATGTGGGGGTGATAAATACTTTTTGTGACCGCAAAACAACAGTCGCAAACTATTTGCGACCGCCTAATCTACTTATGGCGACTAATGTTTTACTATCGCAAAAATTTTAAAAAATGCCTTCAATGTATTAGCGACCATCTTGTTACTGTCGCAAAAAAAAAAAAAAAAAAGGGTGTAACGTTAAGCACTCTGGGAATAGCCATGGCCAAAACAATATCCATTAAGTACCAACAAGAAACATAACAATGTAATGTTCGTTCAGGAGATGAAATGGGACTTGGAAAAAAAAAAAAAACAATGAAAATGAAAACATAACAGAAAGAAAAAAAAGAAAGAAAGAAAGAAAGAAACACACCATGCCCCTTTCGAGCTCTTAAGTAACTTGCTCACAAACAATAATCAAGTGTCAATGTTCAAGAAGAGTGTCTTAGGAGCCTTATTAATCCATTAAGCTTCAAATAAAACCAAATAACTAGTTTCAAACAAATCACAAAATTCTATCTAAAAAACTCCATGCCAAGTGAAGATGTTCGATTAAAGAGGCCCTGCGGAAATTTCATTCCCTCGCTGTTCATTCCACTTCTTAATCTACAGTAATTAATGCAACAAGCAAAAAATAAAAGACAATTTCAGAACCTATACTAAATGAGTTGCCTTTACTATTATTTGGTTTTACAATAATAAAAAAACGATTGTATACATCAAAATAGTTACAAAGGATAGATTTGTCATTATGATTTTTCATAACAAAAACCCTGCCAAAAAAAACAGAGGATGTTACGGAAATATTTGAGGCCAAAACATCTTAATACAAATACTACGGAAATATTTGAGGCCAAAACATAGTAATACAAATACTCTAGATTGGGTGGTTAGCAAAGCTTTTGGAAGTTCAAATTCACATTAAATTAACTGGATTTCACATGGTCGCACCATGTTGAATGGGTTTAACAGGCCAATTATTATATCTGTTATATCTGTTATTATATCTATTCCAGAAGTTCTAAAACAACAAACCATGATCAAAATATTTGACTTTCAATGTTTAGAGGAGAAAAGCTATTCAATTCCATATTGAACAGTGTAAATCACAGTACCATGACAATCCAGCCTACACGCATTGCACATGCCACACAACAATATTTGTCCTTCTGTTTGGCAAGAGAAACAAGTTCTTGACAGAATGAAAAGTCAAATTGAAGTCATGCCCAAAAGAAGTCATTTGACCACTAATAGCTATAGCTAATTTGGCCAATTCACAATCATGGGACCATACTTTAAGGGTTTTCTAAGATATAAAAGAAAACTATATAATAGTGGAATAAAGGTTGAGACCCCTTGATCCCCTTTAGTTTTGATTGGTCAACTTTTTTTTTTTTTTTTTTTCTTCTCACTTCTTTTTACCCAATCCCCAACCTCCTTGTGTGTGAGGGGGTTGTAGGGGTGGGTATTTTAAGGGGGTCTAAATCAATGCCCATAATAGTGCCAAACGGTCGTCACATGTGCGTAAATGATGTCTATCAAAGCAAAACAAACGAAAACTACATTCCTTCACCTCAATGTTGCTACCTGTACGCCCATGTATTTATCGACATAAATTAAAGTCTATCATTTTAGGAGGACCAAAGTTTGCACCACCTAAAATAATGTCAAGAAATAAACTCATTAGTGCTTTCTTCCTCATAAGTTGAGACATGAAAGATGGTGGCTGTATCACTCCCAGAGGGAAATCCTAAACATCACTTGTACTTAATTCGATGAGGCAAAATCTTTCTAACAGGATTCAAGTTACCAACTTCTATCTCCCCTCTTCACTTCTTTCTGGATTGAAATATGTTATTACAAACCTAGCTTGGAAAGGTACATGGTATTTGTAGATATGGTATTCGTAATTACAAAACTATCACCCCTCTTCACTTCTTCTACATCATACTGCAGTCCAATGTTCATAATTTTAAAGGCTCAAAGATGAGCAAACAATTAGTAGAACACATCAAGGATTAGAAACTGCTTAAAAAATTGTCATAACATGAGTTAATATATCTGTTATGCTCCAACATTAATTCAAGTCCTTCAAAGCTAAGGTGCCGTTTGGTAACACTTACGTTTTCAGTTTTCTATTTATATTTACAAAAATTTAAAAAACTCAAATAAAAACTTGTTTGGTAAAATTTTTGATTTATAAATCAGTGGTCTCAGTTTATAAATTTGGCCAAAAAATGAAAACACAAAAAATGTGTTTTCATTTTGAGTTTTCAGTTTTTTTTTTTTTTATCATCCAACATTAGCCACCACCCGCCACCATTTTCCACCACCGTCTTCCGCCACCGCCACCCACCACCCACCCCCCACCACCACTCACCACCCACATGTCACCACCACCCGCTCGCTACCACCTACCACCCGCCACCGTCACC